TATTTTCGAAGCAAAACTAAATTGATGTCTCATGTAAATTGTGTAAAAAGTAGTCTTTTCAGTAAATGGAACTGAAAGGGCTTTGGTTCTGCTTCTGAGACTTTATTTTGTTTAAAAGGTATCTTCTGTCTCAACCAAAATCATACCAGGACATAGTGCTTTTCTTCTCCCTGTCCCATTGTGGGCTACTTCGGGCAAAGCTTTCCTACTATCAGGAAAAAAAGAAGAGCTAGATTTCTATAACAGTTACAAAGAGCTTTGCCAAACTAGAATAAGTGCTCCTAGCTATGCCTTTTTTCTACCTTGAAGGGCACCCTGGAAAACTCCAAGGGAATTCATAAGAGGATATTTATTACATACATTGTAGTGCACACCCACAATCTGTACTTCAAGTTCTGTTACACTTCCTTCCTAATGGAACATAATTCACAGTAAATAGATGTCTTGATCCTCTCTGTATGTAGAGAACACTGTGCAAGGTTCAGAATTTATTATAACCTTCTGTATTGATATGCATTTCGGAGCCCATCAAGAAAAAAAAATGCAGAGATCAGCTAGAATAGAGAAGATATTCAGCAAAGATACTCAGCACATACATTTAGTAAAAACAGGTTTTGTAGTTTTATAAAGATTCGCAGTGGGAATGTTTCCCTCTTTCCGTGTGGCTGACTTCTCTCCCAGTTTCCAAAGTTCGTGTATAATACAGTCCAAGGCCATCTTTCCTCATGTGGCCTGATGATACTGGTGTGGCACCTCACTGTGCTGGATTGCACAGCTTTGTGCTGCAGAGCCTTGTGTACATCCAAAATGTTCTAGGATCCTGCCGTGGGGAACTTTACATAAACAAAAAGCAGCTCTTCACCTGTCCAAAACGTGCACAGGGCTATCGGACCAAACACATCATCTGTTTTTCTGCTATGTCAGGCTGTCATTTTGCTTTTCTAAGTGGTGCTACAAGAATGTATAAAAAATAGGTGGTAGAATTAAGTGAAGCTGGACCTCTCCAGCAGTGCAATAACTTCTTGTGCTATTAGAAATGCTGTGGCCCTGTAAGCTGCTCTATAAATCTTTTAGTGATAGGTATGGAAAGTAGAAAAGGGAGAGAAAGAGTAGATAAAAAGCTATACTTGGCAATGTGTCTGCTTCTACAAGTAGTTCATCAGATGCATGCTAGCCAGGTCAACATGAGCAATAATCTGAATCAAACCCTTTGTTTGTTTGTCTTGTAATACTGCCTAGGCAGGAGCCACAACTCTGCACCTACAGGTAATGTAGTAAGAGCAAAAAGGCTTAAAAACAGATAACTTAATTACACCAATTAATGTAATTATGTGCTACTTACACATTTGTTACTTTTCCACAATTTTTCCCTCTATACAATTTATTGTTGCTTGTTTCCTTCTAGATTCATAGAGTAATCAATTTCAACTTCTTGGGTACTCATTAATGGTGCCTTGTGTCATAAATGTGCTTGAAAATAATGTTCTTTACATCTTTTCACCTAGGTGATAAAGACCTTCTTCTTTAGTAAGCACATAATTTTCAGTAGAGAAATGGTATTATTTTCATCAGTATGTGGCATGTTTCTGCCACAACCATGGGAAGCAAGCCCTGAAATCAAAATGAGTAACTGAGAATTAAATTCCTTTATCTTTTTACTATTACAGAAATAGCAAAACAAAAATAACAAGTAATTGATGTTAAATATATTTCTGGTGAATAACACAAGATATAGGGCAACACCTCTGTGAGGTTTTTTGGTATACTGTGTGCTAGTTATATACATTTTTAAAATGTTTAAGTAATCTGGGTAGGCAGTTGCAGAGTACCTGTGTATATGTTCGTTGTTAATGATTTGTATACTGCAAGGCATCTGTGCTAGAATGGGTTCATCCAAATGGTCTCATGTAATCATGGTCTTCATCTCAAGTTAGCAGGTTATGTGGTCAAGGCAGCAAATAGTTAAAATCAGCTGAAGTAAAAAAGGGCCTATAAGTTGTCTTTTTCAAAGTCTTTCATTACAGAAGTGCTTGAGGGTAAGTTGCCAGCAGGATCTGAAAGCAATAATATAAATGTTGCTATTAGGTAATGATAATACTGTATACTGTAATATTAATATGACTTTGCACTAGCTTATGTGCTGAAAATTAGAGCAATGCAAAGTAGTTGCATTGCATATTTCTTTTTTTTTTTAGATAATGTGACTATAATAATCTTTTCTTTTTCTCCCCTCTATGTTATAGGGAGAAAATTGAATTTTTGTCATGAGAACAAAGACATATTTCATTATGCAATCATTACACTCCCCAGGAAAGGATTTATAGCAGGCTCAAATACACAGGCAGACAAAGTATAATGACCTAACATCAGAGAGTATCAGTGTGTAGAGAGCCCCGTGGGACCTGCGTGGGAAAGAACACGTTGGCAGTCATAGAAGTCGATCTGTATTGTTTTAGCACTGATGTGATGCAAGCTCGTGGTAAATCTGCCTGAGGAGACTTGCACAGCCATCACTTGTGCAATGCTTTAAATAAAAATGCAGGACTCGAGCAAGGTACCTTGTTGCGGGGGTGGTATTTTTTAATTCTTTCAGGATCTGGTATCTGTCACTTATTTATGGAGTTAGAGAAGCATGGTGCTGAAACTGCTAAATCTGAAGCTGCTGAAACACAATCATATTCATGGTTCTTTGTTCCTGTCATTCAGAACTGGTGAGTGGGAGGCTATTAGCTTCTGCATGAAGGTTCACAGAATATATAAAAATGTGAATTAAATCACTAAACTGTTAACAACGGTGGTTACAATGTTTAAAGAGAAATATGGTCTTGTTGTAGTTGTTCCTTAGCTTATAAGGATTGTTCAGAATTGCAGCTATTCACTGAATATTCCATGAGTATTTTATTGAAGTAAGAGGGAATGAATATCATGGTCAGATAGGACCTTGACTGAGTGATGTGGTCTACAAGTAGCATAAAATTGCATGAATTCTGGCTTTTACACATCTTTTCTACTAACTATGGAAAATGTGTGTGCATATGTGAGCTCTTTCACTTACTATAAAATTTTTGAAGGAGATATTGCTAATGGTTTGGTCAAACTAGTTTTTTAAAGGAGAGCTGGATGAAAGACATGCATAACGAAATTATTTTAAGCATTTAAGCTGGTCTCTAGCTGACTGCCGAGGATGTTTCCACTTCATCACAGGTGACAGTCACTGCTCACTGCCAGCTTGTGAAATGTGGCTGTAACATTGATAAAGGCTGGATAAGCACTAGCGGAGAAAAGATATTCTCAAACAAGAAAGGAAAGGGGAAATGGGGGAAATAGAAAATCCATTCTTGTATAGCAGACCATATAAGGATCTAATGCAAGTAATTTCCAGATTATGCATCTTAGTTTTGTGTCCTTATGCTGGGTGTGTGGGGGGTGTTGTGTGTTTATTATTCTAATATGATTGCAAAGACAGAAACACTACACCTTAGTTCTGTGTGAAAACCAAGAAGCTGTTTTAGTCGTGATCAAGATTTGATCAGTTTCCACCAGTTTTCTCCCACTTCATGTTTAATGTGTAAACCCCCAAAAAAAAGCATTTTTGAAATGGCCTGTCTGGTTTGTAGCCTCGAAAATCCTCGGCTTTTTTTTTTTTTTTTTTCCAGAAGCACCATTTTTTTAAACCTTTATCATCTTTCCTATCTGAAAATGTTGCTTTTGAATGGGACTGTTCCCTTTTCTCTGTCCCTGGGATACCATGTTTCTTTGCTCAGCCCTGTATGACTTTTTCCACCGACTTCAAGGGCCAGGTATTAACCTGCCAGCCCCAGGAAAGGTGGTTAGAAGTGTCTTGGTGGCTCTGGAGCAATATTCCCTGGTGCAGCACAAACACGATGCTTCCATATGTCCTTTTCATTCATTCTCTGCTACCATACAAGAAATGAAGCCAAATTCCCCACTGCCATGTAAATAGGATATTAGACACTGCAGAGAGGCTTTGAAGTGTTAATACCCCTCTAATGCAGACAGCTGACAGAGAGTAACAGTTTCGTTTAGGGTTGTGACTCAGGCTGTTGCAACAGGTCCTGGCAGAATTAAAACAGCTGGGAGCAGCATGCAGGTTGCTGGATAGTAATGGTATATGTCACATTTTGCATGATTTTTGGAGTTATCTTAACTGGTGTTTTAGATGGGAAAAAACTACCTGGGGAGTGATTTTGAGAGACAGCAGCTGTTCTGGAGAGTGGCAGCAGAGCCAGCTTGCCTGTCAGCCCACAGCAGCCAAGTGACTGGCAGCAGGGTCTCAGCTGACACAGCCTTGGTTGCAGAGGCAGGGGGAGCACAAGTGCTGCCCCTCCCTGGCCTCCAGCAGGGGTGGATGGGCTCCTGCCACTTCTCACTACTGCAGGATAGGATACTACAGGTGAAGGTTTTCCACCCCAGACCAGAGGGACACGTGGTCCTCTGGAGAAGGGATCCTTGGCTCTCTGGTGAAGGGATGCTCAGTATTCAAGAGAAGGGAGACTTGGTCTCCAAGCAAGTAGACAAAAGGGGGACAGGAGTGACCAGGATTTGGCCAGGCCCACTGAGAGGGCAACAGGGCAGGGTTAAGGAAGGGGAATCTCTCTCAGGAGCAGCTTCACCTGGGAGGAGACATCCCGGACGTGGATGTCCTTCTACCTTCTCTTCCACCAATTTTCTCAGGAAAAAGAATTTTTTCCCTACCCTTTTGTTCTTTGGTGACTCCTTCACTGACTCCTACATGCCAGCCTTTCATTTTAATGATAGCTTAGCAGTGAAACTGAGTCACACCAAGGCCTGAAGGTTTTCAGCCTTAATCTATAATGAAATGTAAAGAAACCTGTCAGTGTATGACATGATCTCAGTATCCCTGAGAGACAGACTTGGAAACTGTGCTCTGGGAATCTAAGTGTTCAGACCAACTGCGCTTGCCAAAGCAATTAATTGTTTCGATTAATTTTTTTTTTCCCCTCTTCAATTTCCCATAGAAATTGGGAAGATTGACCAAGATATATATAAATACAACACCCCAGGATTCACCGGCTGTCTATCAAGAGTGCAGTTCAACCAGATTGCTCCACTCAAAGCAGCTCTGAGACCTACCAACGCCTCCTCTCACGTTCACATCCAAGGAGAACTGGTAGAATCCAACTGCGGGGCATCTCCACTCACCATCCCACCAATGTCGGCCGCTACCGACCCATGGCACTTAGACTCAGGTAAGCTGGGATTCATGTCACATTGACTAAGTGGAGAGTTCACAGAAGAAATCCATCTGCCTTCCTCTGTAAAGAGAAACAAAACAGAGGGCAAGTGATTGATGGGTGACTGTAGAGCTATAATCACAGTAGGAAATGCAAAGATGGAATGACAGATTTGCCACCACTTCTAAGTGCAGTTACAGTATTTTCTTTGCCATTTTTTTAATATTCTGCTTTATTTTTCTTTTCTGTAAATCTTGGACTATTTGAATGTTGAGTTTTGACCTAGCTGCTGTGATAGCGCTTTCTCTCTAGTACGGGGTGTGTAGTCAGCAAAAGGTTGAAAGTACACATATAACTAAGGTACAGTAGCATTTCTTATGTGTATTCCTAATAAATGAATATATTGCTGTCAGCTTCACACCAAACCAGTAAATCTAATTTTAGGCATAAATATATTTATGTAAAGTGCTGATTTGTTTTCTGAAATGTCTAGTTTCCTTAGGCCATATTTAATGGGAAATTCCATTAGTCATGATGGCATTCATCTTGTCCTGAAAATGCTGGAAAGCCAAAACAGTTTTCTGATCCCAGCAATCTCATCCTGCTTTGTGACTGAGAGATCTTGAAAATATACATTGTGCCTAACTTTAGAGGGATTTTTGTCCTCTTTTGATTCTTGAGTGTCTGGTTCCTTTTAGATTTATAGGGTCAGGTGTACAGTGATGACTCTCATATATTTTGTCTTCATTCTGATTTCACTTGTAAAGTGTAAATTAGAACCTATTTGGGCAAAGTTGATGGGTTTGCAGTGGTATAAAATTAAAATCCTAGAGGAAAAACTTGGTCCATAATGATTTTGATACTGATTAGTCTTTGCCTATTGTGGTTGGGGATGCATCCATATGCCAGTTTTTATGGGAGAGTGGGCAGGTATATACGTCTTTCTCAGAAGTATGTGTCAAGGTCATACCTTTGGGGTTTGTTTCTTTGTGGTTTTCTGGGGGTTTTGGTTAGGGTCTTTTTTCTTGTAATGTTGAGGAACTCCTTGCAGCAATTCCTTTCAGCATTTCTTCGGTAGAGAAATTGGGCAGGGGTTTGTGAGGAGAAACAGACATTCCAAAGCTGAGGGTCCCGAACATTAACACAAGCAGTATCGTGCTCTAAAACCTATCACTCCCACCCTTCTGCCATGCCATGCCATTGTAAGATTTCAGTATGCCTCTTCCCCATTTATAACATGCTATTTTCTGCTATTTATTTTCATCACAAGTTAGCAGTCCCTTTTTTCTCTGAAATTCTTAGATCAGTTTTTACCCAAAGGTTATGTACTGTGCTGCTCTTTCTATAAAAGCATATTTCTGAAGGATTCCTCACTGGATCATGTCTTCAAAAAGTATACCATAAACTTCTTCAGGACAGCCTGCTCCTGTGAATCTTGTGCATGTAATGGGTTTTTGTTGTTAATTTTTGTTGGTTACTTTTCCTTACACTTCATTTGACTGCAAGCTAGTAAAAGACAATGGTGGGGCTTACCCAAGACATTTACGCTGTTCCTAATAGTTCCTGAAGTTCAAAGAAAAAGTTCCTCTTTGTCCTTGCCACATGCTATTATGCTTGACCTTGTGTTGGCTCAGTCTTGTCTTGTAATCTTTGTTGACCTGACAGACTACAGTTTATACTTTTTCTTTGGGATTAATTGCAGCACTCAGTCACAGAAACAGGATATCAGGGAACACACAGTGTGCTATTAGGTTGGCTCAAACTGTCTGTTAACTTCTGCCAGTAAAAATTAATTCTCATTGCCACAGCCAGACTTTATTGTTTCAGTTCATGGGCAGACAGAGTGCAAGTGATCCACCTTCATTTTTGGTGATGATTAGCTTTAGGAAGACTGTGACCTTGGACCCCTCCTCTTTTCCTCTCCAGTGATCCACAGCAGTAGAGAGAAAAGGTTATATCGCTGCAAAGACTTCTAGTGTGGAACACTAGAAGAAAGCAATAATATCAGGTGAGGTATGGTAGGAAGAAATTTCGCAGCAAGGGAGTGATGTTTCCCTTGTTCGGGAGTGAGAGGATTTTCAGGTGTTGGTGAGCAACACCTGACTTCCACGCTGGGTGACATTTCCATGATACAGAGAGGAGCTATCACAGCAACTCACTCATCACAGAATCATAGAATCATAGAATCACAGAACCATAGAATCATAGAATCAGCCAGGTTGGAAGGGACCTCTGAGATCATCAAGTCCAACCCTTGATCTACTACCACCGTGTTTGCTAGATTATGGCACTAAGTGCCATATCCAGTCTCATCTTAAAAACCTTCAGGAAAAGAGAATCCACCACTTCCCTGTCAGTCCTTCTAATGGCTGATTACCCTCTCTGTAAAGAATTTCTTCCTAATATCCAACCTAAACCCCCCCTGGCAGAGCTTAAGATGATGCCTTCTTGTCCTACTGCTGGTTGCCTGGGAGAAGAGA